TTGTGCGAAAGGTATCATTTTGATGTCGTTCTTTGTATTACCCCGCTAGCTGATGAGTCCCAAACGGGACGAAATGCGCGTCCTGGATTCCACTGCTAGCCACTATCCATCATTAATATATAACTGAAACGCTGGCAGTATCGAGGCATCCACACAGGAGCCCATATGCCAATTCGATCCACTCAGCGACGGAATAGTACAAACAACAAGATTCATTACCGTGGCCAAGTGAGGTCAGTTTAATAACCGTATTCGGATCCTATACATATGTCCCAGAGTAAGATCATGCACCCATGGCTAGAGATTCCAGAGTTTTGGGGAGCTATGCTTGCTGTCTGATTTGGTATGGAGTTCATACTTTGGAAGCCCTTACGAGAAATCGATGGCGGTGTCTTAGGAGACCAGGGATGAGGTTTCTATGGCTTTCATTTTTGGCAGTGATCGAAGATTGAGGGGTTGAGAAAGGTGTAATAGGCGCAGTATTGGTATCATAGAGTGAAGCCGAAGAGGAAGAAAGTTGAGGAGGATAGATTAATTTTTTATTCAGTCTTATGTACCATCGGAAGCGAGCGGACGATTGACACTTTCCTGCTACCCCCACCATGGAAGACTATTTCTTCTTAAAGTACCTGAATGAGAAGAAGGTTTGTGTGACCGCAGAGTCCATGAGACATCTACTTGACTCCTGTCACATGCAGACTTTTAAGGATTGTTGGTGTGAGCTGCGATCGTTAAAACATCGGAATGAGAATACCTATACCATCGGAAGACCTTGTGGCAGGGAGAAGTGCTGTTATTGGAGTAGACCTTTTCTGACCCGCCGCCTCCCCCCCAGGGAAGGCAGTGTAGCACTGCTGATCATCCAAAAGAAATAGCTTACTGCTATCACACTCATCCAGCCAGCGGTACTACTTCACCCTTTGACTCTCATCATAGTGTAACAGTTCAAACTACAGAGGAAACTGCTCTTTGTATTACCATTATCCGGTAGGTCTTCCTGGCATGGTAGGACCTTGATAGAACAAGTTTTACAGTCAGCATATTTCGTTGGGTCACTGAGATGTACAAACTTTACCAACACATCAATGTAGAAGATATCATCCAGTGCTACTTCACCATGTTGCCAACTGGTTTGCCTTCCACACCGAACATTGCTCAACTACAATGCTTCACTCTGTGATTCCAAATATTCTAGGAAATCATGACTGACAGAAGAGCTTCACTCCGACAACGTCATCCAATTACCACGATCGTGTGTCAGCCGAATGGAAGGACAGAAAAACTTCTACAGATTCTCCACCTACCTTTTATTCTCCCTATCACGGGAAACAGACATCTAAGCTGTGTTCATAGCTAGATGGGTCTGTATTGTGTCCCATTCACAGTCAGTGGACGAATGACTAAGAATGGGCTAGTTGCACTCTTCGAAGTTCACCACACCACCAAGTCATTAATCTGCTACTGTCAATTTCTATTCCTAACATCAACATTCCTCATACATACAGTCGATTACACCACATACATGAGACTAATGAAAGTTGCAACCAGATGGCTGTAGATTGCGTTAGCCACCAACTCTTACTCGGTTATTCGATTTTCTGAAACGCTGCACACCTCAACATGCTCAGCTATTCGCTCGTTAGTGTCAATGCACACACATATAGAAAGGAGTCTTGAGACAACATCTTGGGAATGAGAAATGCATTTCGAACCTGCTCATTGTGGTTCAAGATGTTTATTATCCGACTTTCTGTCAGTCTCTGTCTCTTGCTTGCTTGCTCGCTCGCTCTACATATCTCTACCTACCAACCTACCTACAGACTTACCTAATAGCACCAATATTTTGGAGGAGTGGAACCAATCTGTGTGAATCTCCTCAGATGATGGTTCACCGTAGGTCCCGAAATGACCACGATTCTTCAACTTCACGGTTTTCAGTGTGCTGATCTGTAAGTCTTTCTACTGACACACATGAAGAATGTCTCTGTGTTATCAACTTGAAGACGAAAGGAACAAGTGTGTGTTGAAGAAGTGAGTGAGTAGGTGTATTTGCGAGGATTGTAACAGTTCTCATCCTGACCTCAAATAACACCATGTTTACTCCATGTGGTGTGGAAATAACTCAGAAGTTTACTAGCATTTAACTGACCACTAGTAGGAGTTATCGAACGTCTGTTATCGTGTAGGAAATGATGTCCGAGAATACATGTCGATCACAGAACTCAGATTAGATGCAAACGGAGTGAGTGACGTCGTAATAGCAGTGAGTATTGGTAGGTGGTGGGAAGGATTTCGACGAAATACTGAAGATTACTTTAGTTTGCTTGAAACTTGCATGAGGAGTTTCGACAAAACAATAAGAAGACGTAACGTTTCTGAGAGTTGACTACCAATAATGTTGCTTGATGATGACGTTGATGTTGAATGATAAGAAACAGGTGTTAAGCATTACTGTTTAGATAGTTAGTTCATCAGCTTCACGTAGATTACGAAGGAGGGAAAACATGGTACAGCTGTTGAACAAACGAAGGATCAGGTAATACGAATGAGACAAGTTGAGTGAGATGCAATCAAAGTGTTCTCGTTAGATGTTGCAATTAATGGGGAGATTAAACGAAGTGACACTGAGAACTATTAAATGTTGAAGTAATACTGACTATGGTGCAACGAGTAATGTAAAAGAAGGAGGGGAATGGAAGAAGAGAAGCGAGACGCAGAGAAAATGAGGTTGGAGTGAAGGTGATGACAAGAATTCGTATACTTATTTTGCACACAAAGTTGTTCAACTCTCATTTCATGAATAGCTAAGTTGTCTGGTGCTTATGGATGTTGGAGACGAAGTAAATGTGAAGTATTTGAGCGAATTCGATAACCAGCTTTGAAATCCATGTTTGTGTTAGTTGATTGGTTGGAATCGATCAAATATCTAAGGATAGAACTTCTAATGCATTTCTCTCCTCCTTATTGATGCAATGGTGGATAAGGCTAGTTTCGGGATCACCATATGATTTTCAACAACTGGTGTCAACTTTCTGGTCTACTATCACCAGTTCACTAACTCTCACTCTAGTTCTAATCATTTGCAGACGAAGGATCATGCTGAAAACTGAAATCGATAGGTGACACTGACACGATATAAATTCATTCATTCAAGTAAAGGAAGGGTTTTCTGTTTTGATGAATCGTCCGGAAGATGTTGACAACATGCTGTCGATTGCCTGTGATCAGACTAGGCTCGATAAAGCCTAAGGTGAGAAGAAGGGAACTCAACAGATTCGGATCCAACTCACAGGTATCTTGAAGGAAATGAAAGATGATTCATTAATTTTACTCTGATTCGTTTCAACGCATTCTAGCTGGTGGTTCGGCAATTCAACGTCTGATAGTGCACTGAGCCGAAAAGATTAGAAGACGAAGACCAGTCTGTGACTTCATGGAAGAAAGCATCATTTGAAAAGGAACACATCATGTATGTACTGTTCTCCTTCTGAAAAAATGTCACTAGGTCAGAAGTTGGATACTTACCTCATCGGCCACTTCAACGATAAGGTAGTTCAGTTACGTTTTCTGCCAACACAGTAACACAAGACCAAGGTTGGCATTCAAAACTTCTACCTTAGCAGCCGATTACCTAGAATGCTCATTCTGACTTGGTTGCCGTCCTATCAGCTTTGCTAAACTTAGAATTTTTCACTTGCATTATTGAGCAATGTGCCATTAAACGTCACAATGTGAATCTCAACAGAGAACTTCGATATTCATGAACTGACACCTGAACTTAGTGTGAAGAATATGTATGCAGAGTCTTTGTCATTAACTTCGCACCAATCACAACTTCTCTATGTGTCTCTCACTTCATTTCACTCCTTCCATGTATCCTCTTCCTTCAGATTATTCTTTGCACCATTTTATCATCATCATCATCATCATCATCATCATCATCATCATCATCATCATCATCATCATCATCATCATCATCATCATCATCATCATCATCATCATCATCATCATCATCATCATCATCATCATCATCATCAGTATTACGTTTACATTTATCGGTTACCCATGTCACTTCACTTAATCTCCCCATTAATTGCAACATCTAACGAGAACACTTTGATTGCATCTCACTCAACTTGTCTCATTCGTATTACCTGATCCTTCGTTTGTTCAACAGCTGTACCATGTTTTCCCTCCTTCGTAATCTATGTGAAGCTGATGAACTAGCTATCTAAACAGTCATGCTCAATCTCTTTGTATTGTCACTAAACGTCACGTGATCCCTTGCAGTGAAATCTATCTGGCTGACGGAGTTATACTTGAAGTGCCTCTCATCGAACTGTGGGGAATATCTCTTTATCGGACACCCTACATACGTGAGATTTCATTGACACCCAGGAATTCAAGCAACGACTCCTAACCTCCTATGTGTAGCTAACATCAGAATGAACTCAGAGGGTAGGAGCCAAGATGGTTAAATGTACATCTAGACTCTCCTACTAAAAAGGACTGCATCAACTAGGTATCTCTCCACTGTCTTATCGTGCGATCACATGTTATCTCATTGTAACGCATATTTTCTTGAATGACGATTTACCTTCTAATTGTCTTACTTCTTGCCTCATGAAGTGTTCACCTGAGAGAACGTCATCTAGCAGTCTGTAAATCATAGTCGAGCTGTGCAGGTCTTGACTTGTGCATCACTGAAATCCCACCATGTGATATTGTGTTAGTGGTGCCTACAACCTGCTAACCTCATTCTTTGACTCCATTCAATACACGAATGTAACATGTAGATATTTCAGGATGCATTCCGACGAAGTCATCCCAAACTCATATCTAATAGTTTTATCAAAGTTTACTGTTTCTATCAATAGTCCTCCAGCTCACGATGACACAAACCGTCTGACAACACATTGACATCCCCTGACGCATTGCACTAGGTAATTTGGCTGAGTTTACAAAGAGAGACAAACAGACAATATACCTCATTATTATTATTATCATTAATATTATTCCGATCATGAACATTATTATTATTATTATCATTGTCATTAGTAAAAATAATATAATGGTTAGTATTATTTAACATAAAAGTAAGTTACATAATATTAGAAAGTCGATCTTAAATTATGGAATAACACACACACACACACACACATTCACTTTTGTTCGATGAAGGTGATGATCCATGTAGAGAACAAGAAATATCAGTTTAATATGTTGAGTTCAATTGAACAAACATGAATAAAGCATAATCACCATCCACCTGTGGAATGTTCATGTGATTCGATTCGATTTTTCGTGGAGTACTTACTGCTCCACACCATCCCTCAGCTGTTCAGCTTCTCTAGTGCCAACAGTAGAGTAGAGTAATAATCCTTATCGAGCTTCCTTCCATCATATGATGTTAACACAGAAACATTCTGCGCCTGCAAGTTATCATCGTGTGGTCTGAGTAACTCGATCAAGCGCACATCACCTACTTCGGGATGAATTTCTCGATATGTCTGAAATATTTGATCTTGTAATCGAATGCGAAGCAACTCATCTAATGCTTCGTCATGAATAAACTGACATCTCTTCCCGAATCTACATTTCTGTAACGATGAAAAAGACGACACAATTGTGTTTTATACCGTGGATGATGTGGAGTGCATCTGAGTTCAATCGCCCCATGAGCGAAATGACATCCATCCCCATAACTACAACCTCTACCAGAAGTGTTAGAATAATGCCTACACAATTCCGTTTTGTAGTATCGACTGTTAGGACGAGTAGTGGCGCTATCAGCAAGAGATTTTGTCAAACAGCATTGTTGTTGAACATTGAAAGTTGACGATGAGGAGAAGCAAGTGTCTTCATTTGCACAGTGAGATTCATCACCTCGAGAATTATCCAATATATTCGCCTTGTTCTGATCATTCTCTGCAGCACTCAAACTGCTTTGCTGGTCTAATGTTGATGTTGACAGCTGTGTTGACACCAAACTTCCAAAGCTATCATCAATCGAACGTAATTCTGTGTATGCTTCGTCTCGTACACCTTGAGCAGTCTTTAACAACTCCTTTTGAAGATCATCTAAATCCTTCGAATTTGGTAGATAACAAACAGTCCTATTGTCTGTATGTTCGCGAATAATCTGAATGTCTTCCTCCAGTAGTTGTCTAATGAGATCATTAATGTTGCCAACATTTTGAGTCTTCATTGACAATGTTGTTATGAATTCACTGTGTTTGTCCATATTCCTAGTGTGTGTGAGAGAGCGAGAGAGTATTTTCACTCCACTTGTCTTTTCGATAAAATGAAATGGTTGTGCAGATATGTCTCCAATCGATTCTTGAATGATTGTTGAGTGGTAATCTGTGTCATCAGTCAATCCATCATTACCTCATCAAGATATAAACTATAAATGACCATGTGATGACTGTCACAGTGATTATTGCTCACCATTGAATCTGATATTTTCTAGTAGTAGTGATGATTGGATGAATCGTCATAATTAATCAATAAACTGAGAAGCATACAGGCCAGTCAGATGACGTGTTACTATCCCAATGAATCAATGAGTTTGCATGTCTAGGTGCAATTGAGGGGAATGCATAGGCAGACCTAGATTTCCTGTTTGTTGCTCTTCGTCAGAGGGCATATGTGTAGCAGGAAAATCTCCACTGACTGTAGTTGTTTGAAGTCACATTATTCAAATCTACAATCAGTCCATGGCTGAGAAGACGCCTCCTCGGATAGAGTTGTGCATAGTAAGTGGTCAGTGATGCGTAACCAAGGTAATATTCTACTCCACGATGCTGATTAGCAGCCTGTTTGACTATGTCGATGATGGAGATGGGTTCTCATCTCACCAGCAATTCAACATCTTTCGACAGTGATGAGTCCTGATAAACACCTTTTGCATCCGACACAAAGCATAGTGTCCGTCTAGTGAGCAGATCAGACTTCCTAGTCTGTTTGTTATATGTCATCAATATCATCGATAAATTTATCATGTTGTTTACCATGTGATAGGCAATCAATGTGTATGACATATGATACTTTTTCAACGGGAAATCCAATGAGTAAGTGAAACCGTGTGGTTGAACGAAGAGACTGTTTTCGGCGAGTTCATTCACTTCATACCTAGGTGTTCAACCACATTCATATACAACTTTTGCTGAGGATGTACAAATTGTTTCATGTGTGAAAGTAGTTCGTTAGTCATAACCACAATGTGATATATGTATAAAAGTGGAACTACTGTTTCATCTTACAATCATCGTGAAATATTTATGAATATTGGAAAGCAATCCAAATGGCATGTTGACAAGCAAAGTAAAATTGTCATAGGATTAATGAAGTGCAAGGTTGCTAATATTCGTAGGTATTGCTCATGATTTCATGGAAATTGAGTCACGGTGACTAGGTTAGAATGAGGAGTTGAGTAAGTAACATGACATAGTATTAATGAATGAATTGTTATAAAGGGGTCTGGATAGGTGTGGAAAGAAGGAGTGGTCGAAGATATGTAAGAAATGAAAGGAAGTAAACAGTCAAAGGAATGACGGTGGGAGATATTTAGAAACGCTAGAGATTAGGACCACGAAAGAAGTGCTGGTTGAACAAGTCATTTCGTATAGAAGGTTCCGGCTTTGCTTCCTGAATTACTAAAGCTTCAGCAAGGATTACAAAGGAGGCGATTAGTACTGACTTTGGCAAGTTTCTTTTCACTTTGTGAATAACTTTGAAAGAGGTGGTTGTTGAAATTGAATGACCAATGTTCCGTTAACATACTTCGTATAGATACACTACTGTCTCTCTGTAGACATGCAGGATATTTTTCTTGAACGCTTTTGGACATGACCAGACTCCACTTGAGCAGGTGAACTGAACACATAACGGTGGCAAGATGTGGGATTTTGTCTTTCAGGCGACTACAGAACACTACTCTGAATGTTGCTGCAAAGAAAGTTTACCCCAGGGAACTTAAAATGCTTCATTTTAGTATATCAACCAATGTCTATGTCACCTCTGAAATCAAAGTTTATTCATACATAGAATCATTTTCGTTGCGGAAAATGAATTTGACGGCTTTTATATAAATGCTATTGCACATTTGTACAGTGAATGAATTCGTCGAAACGTTTTTTCGCTAAACCACTTTTTTTCCTTTCCCGATATATCTTTATGGGGATTGTTTTCGAATCCAACAAGTAACAATTGCTGTCTGTTACTCACTCATCAGTAGGTACTCTAATCTTGTAATTCATGCGGTGATCTCGAAGGAACTGCATGGCTGACCAATACCACCTTTCTTGCTTGTAGAGTTAATAGTTGTGACAGGTGATTACACTCTTGCATTCCTACAGTAGTAGAATACAATGACTCTCTGTAGTTTAATCTGGTGGTGATGGGTATTGAGGTTGACAATTTTTAGTTTCAACCCACTCGGGATTCCCTTGTGATATGCACATACCTGCGTTTTAAGAAATGCTTGCCTTCTCATAAGCGAGTGAACTCAATATGCTTTACGTGAAGTAGCGAAGGCTAATCAGTCAGTTTGACTGTATTACAAAGCCATGCACCATCACTTGATATCGTGATGAAATTTAGGATCACATGTATACAGTGAGCAAGCCTGATCATAAAGAGAGAAAGAGAGAGAGAGAGAGAGAGAGAGAGAAATATCATTACGATTGATTGAGTGCATCGATAACGAGGTGATAATCACCAGGATGTCGTTTTACACTCGGATGAATAATGGTGTGTGAAACGCTGTATGCGGATATATTGTTCGTGTAAGAAATTACTAGACAAAGCATATTTATTGACAGCTTCAGCCAATTCATCTATATTCGTCTTGTAATTTGTACCTGATTTTCAAAATTGAGTGTATCACATAGCCACTGACTGACAAGTTGAAATCTGTACACAAAACTGGAACACCGAGTATCGCAAAGGTTGGTGAGCTTCTGTGTGTTTTCGTGGTTTGACTGTTCTTGGATGTTAGCTTCTCATGACTAGGAGTGATCTGGTCAATGTGAATGTCACACCCAGTGTGGCCTCCCTACGAGGACTACACATTGAAGTCGAAGCCGAAATTTCTATCACTCACTACTGGTGTCATTTCATTACTCTCAACTCTGCATGAAATCTACTCACTGTTTCACAACTGTGGTCATCAAGTTTTCTTTTCATCTATCAATAGTACAAGGCTGAACAAGGGAACTGTCATTCTGCAGAATATCCATCCAGAAGGATTGGTTGTCGAAAAGAGTGTTGAGATGGTCGAAGAAGAAGCACAGGATGAATAGTAGTTACCGGCCTTTAGCAACTTCTCACTTGACTGAGATTCAGTTTTATGGTAGATCGCTTGGGAGCTGTGGCTCATTTGTTTGGAGAGTTGACTATCAGTCAGTGGATCACGGGTTGGAATCGCGCTCCACCTATTCAAGTTTGGGCTGCCAGGTAGTATCACTAGCACTCTCACAATAAGTGTGGCCCAATGCCTGCTGTACGAATGTGCACGATGTTACTGGTTTATAAACATAATAATACTATATCAGTTGGAATAACCTGTTGATTACTAAGGGCGTATATGCTGCTGTCTTGAAGCCAAAGTTTGACTGTAACAGACACACTCATGGAATTTCTTCTTCTGTAGGTTTGAAGGACTAAGGACCAACTTTATGCTTTCCTGAGAAACCGTTGAGAACAGGCTGAATTCAGATTTTTCTCTTTCAGCTGTATACCAGCTGGGTCATGAAGATCAATGCGAGTGAACAGGTGTGAAAATATTCGGTATGTAGGGGTGTAGACTTCAGTCAAGCCGGCTATTCACGATAATATCACCGATCTCACTTACTACATCTTTCATTGACCTGGATAACTTTTTCATGGGTGAATAGTCATTACCGCAGATTTCCTCAAGTGATAGTTACTTTCATGCATGAGAACTGGGTCACATGTGACCTTGAAAATTTTTTGACGTTCTCCCATACTCCCACAGTATCAATGCGGAAACAACATATTTTGGAGCGAATCAGTAATTTTTCCAGTCTCTTCAGGCTGAAGATTAAAAAACAATTTCTTATTCATTAGGACACCTAAATGGATTTGAAAGGTGACATCACCACTCCAGTCTATAAAACTGTCCGTAAATATCTGGTGGTTAGCTACTATTAGGATAGTCTGTTCAGTCTCGTTGTTGAGCATTCGAAAAAGATTATCCATAGTGTCATTCTGATGGGTAACATCTTCACACTGAAAACTAGTAAGGACTCCAGGAGATTAAATTAACTCGTTTGTTTTCTACGTCATTCTGTCAGGCTTGCTGAAGTGAATGCGCAGATTCATTTTCTCAAAGAATATATAAAGAACCAGGCATATCCAAAAAGGTTTTGGGAAGCATCATGTAGAAAACCCTTTCATTCAAACGCTGTCTCTCAAAATCCACACAAAACACCATTATGACTTTATATTTTTGTGTATTCCAGTATTAGAATGAAACATATCACATCGATCCTTTTCGTGCCTCAAATTGTCGCCATATCAAATATTCACTGAATATGTTACTACACTTACCAATAAGCGATCAAAGTCAGTGCAATCAAACCTAATAAACAGTCTTAAATCCATCGAAGTTTAATGCAAGTTCCCTGATGATCCCGAAAGATTTATATTTAATCATTCTTCAATATCACTATCCAAATTACAGCTAGAGGCCCTGTCTGTAGGGCCAACATTTTGCAATGCGAACCAAAATATCAGCAAACTTCATACACATATACAGTTCGAAGATTTAGTCAGACAAACTGGTGATGTTTCCCGACTTCAGACCGAGAGTTTCAACGCTCCAAATAGATCACTACAGACTGTTACCATTAACGCCCTAGCACAAATCCAAGGATCAATAGCCTATTAACAAAGAACACAGAGAACAACTGAAACAATTGAGATGTAACAAAGATTCGGTAATAACAAGTCCAGATAAGGGCCCGGCATAGTCATATTAGACAGAAGTGTCTATGTAGACAAAATGATGGCTCTACTCTCAGACGGAAATAAGTTCTATAAACCTGGAAGCAAGAAAAATAAAAGAGCGACTTATTGATTTCTTGAAATGGTCGAAAAATGGTCAACTAATAACCAATGACCTCTACCATTGCATTAAACTAACAGACTCGAAAATTCCACTACCGAAAATTCACAAAGCTGGCTTACCCTTCGTCGAGTTCTAGATATATCTGGATCTCCTTATCGTTCGATTGCGAAATGGTTAGCCGAGCTCCTAAAGCGTATGAGAAGACAAATGGACATACATTCTCTATGTGACACTTTT